TTGTACAAACAGAACCTTAAGGAGCTAGAGGCAATAAAGAAATATGTTATAAACAATCTAAAATATAGCTTTATTAAGCAAAGTTAAAGCCCTTTTGCATCTTCTATTCTTTGTGTACAGAAACTAAATAGCAACTTATGTATCTGCGTTAATTACTGCAAACTTAACGCTCTTACCTGCAAGAATGTGTATCTAATACTGCGCATAGACAAACTCCTGTTAAGACCTACTAAGGCAGTAATTTTTACTAAGTTTAATATTTATGTAGCCTTTAACAAGATTAGGATAGATCTAAGCTCTAAAAAGTGTACTACCTTTTAGACATAATACAGAACTTATAAGTGTAAAGTTCTGCCTTTTAGATTGTGCAATAGTCTAGCAACTTACTAGCGCTATATAAACAATGTATTAATTAACTATCTAAATAATTTCTATATTACTTATCTTAATAACATTCTTATCTACTCTAAAGATAAGGCAACTTATATCTTTTACATTAAAAAAGTCTTAAAAAGGCTTTAGTAAGCAGGATTACAGGTAGAGATTAAAAAAAGTAAATTCTATATTACTTAAATAAGGTATCTTAGCTATATACTCTTAAACAAAGGACTAGAGGTTAACCTAGAGAAAGTAGAGGTGCTACGCAACTAGCAGGCGCCTACTACTGTAATAGGTGTAAAATTCTTTCTAGGCTTTACTAGATTCTATTAGCAATTTATTCTAGAATTCTTTTATGTAGCAAAACTAATTATTACGCTTTAGAGCTTTACTACCCCTTTTATATAAACTTTAGAGTGTAATGTGGCTTTTAAAAAGCTAAAGTCTGTGCTACTAAGTATACCTACACTTTACTATTTTAACTTTATGTTGTAAACTAAAATTAAAACTAACGCTTTTAATAGAGTAGTAGCAGGAGTCCTTTTTTAGAAATAAGCAGATAGAAATTAGTGCCCTATATTATTCTATAGCAAGGTCCTATCTAGTTTAGAGCTAAACTAGGAGATACATAACAAGGAGCTATTTATAATTATTACTGTGTTTAAATAATAAAGGGCTAAGCTTACATCTATAGTAATAAGCACCTTAGTATATACTAATTATTATTTATTAGAGTACTTTATAATAACAAAGGTGCTAAATGCTTGTTAGGTCTGTTAGGCTAAAAAGTTAGCTTAGTATTACTTCTAAATTAAGTACACCCCTAGTAAGAACAACGCTAGGGCAGACATTCTTAGTTGTTGTAAATAAGACATAAAGAATTTAAGAGCAGCTTAAACTAACAATAGGTTAAGAGTCCTACTAGGACTACACTAACTGCACCCCTAAATTAACTCTAAACTAGCCTAGTACTACATTGCTTAAATAATAACTTAAGCAGCTACACTAAATGTTATAAAAAGACTAGACTAGGTTATGTTTTTAAATTCTTTAAAATTAATTAACACATTACTTTAAAAGAATTAAGCCTTTTTTACGTAAAAGCAAGAACTCCTACTCTACTATTATTAGATAGAAAACAGACTACTCCTCTATGCTAACTGCCTATGTGTGCTAGCAGACTTGTTGCTGTGTACCTAACTTATCTAAGAAGTCTATAACTAAGTATCTTTAGCACATCCTAGTGCCACTAAGACCTATTAGTTACTAGCCTAAAAGTACTACTAGAAGGGTATAGAAGCTACTTATAAATAATACATATAGAATTGCCTCCTCTGTTATAAGGCTTATCTAAAATAGACTTAAACCCTAGGCTTTATCTACCCCCTACTAATTCCTGCTTAACTAATGCAGCACTTGTGCATTAACTTTAAAGAGTTCTCTAAAGATAAGTCTAGATATAATTAGATTATAGTTATAATTAATTACTTATTAAAATAAGCTATTTCTATCCCCTGCTATAAAACAATTAACGCCTAGAAAATAGCTGCTTTGTTTGTTTAATAAGTGTACTGTTTTAGCTACACACTTAAAACTATTATTTTTAATTAAGGACTTTAGTTTATATCTAGTTTCTAGTCTAAATTCTATTAGATTTTAGGCATAAAAGTTAAGCTCTCTACTGCCTATTATAAGAAAATAGATAGCTAAATAGAGATTATAAATAAGTATATTAATTAAAGACTAAGGCTTTTTATATTCTTTTACTAAGATAACTAAAGTTCTTTACTACCTCTAATTAATTAGGCTTAGATAACTTTACCTTATGTAATAATTAAAATGTCTTTATATTAAGTCTTATACAGCTCTAAACTATGTTAAAGCTAGGACTAGAAACATTCTACAGAACCTATCACAGCCACAGACAAGCTAAATTATAAGGATGCCCTAGCATTAGCAACCCACATGCATGCAGCCTAGGAGTTGGCTAAGACCTATATAGAAAAGGCCTAGGATTAGATGTAAACTATAGTTAACTACTACTACTAGCTAGTTAACTAGAAGGTTAGCAACATAGTCTACCTAGACACTAAGAACCTAGCTATTTAAAGACTTAGCTAAAAACTATCTAAATAATAAAAAGGCCCCTTTAAGGTACTTAAATAAGTAGGAAACTTATACTACCTAAAGCTACCTCTAGGGTTAAAGATATATAACGTCTTTGCACTAAACATGCTCTGTAAAGACCCTTAGGATCTGCTCCTAGAATAAGAACCTCTAAAACCCCCTAGAATTGCTATTAATAGAGTAGAGAAGTAAGAAGTAGAGGAAATACTTGCTAGCAAGCTCTACTAGAAAACACTTAAGTACTAAGTAAGATAGGTAGGACACAACCTTAATCTAGTTTAGTACAAGGCTTTAAATTTTATAGGTTCTCTCTATAAACTAAAAGCTTTTTATAATAAGCATCTAAATTAGCTAGGACCTTTAAGGGCCTTACATAAGTAGATTAAGGCATTTAAAGCTAGTATAAAAGGCATAGATTACTTAGCAGACAACAAGGTATAAAAGTAAGAAGTAAATTTATAGTTATACATAATAGTATTACAACTTTATAGACATTGCGCTAGGGAGGTCTGACAGCAAGCTGTTAGACACCTCTAAACTCTCCTCTACCTCCTTCTCTGCCTTTCTTCTTCTTCTCCCTCCCCTCCTCCCTCCCCTCTAGACTCCCCCTAAACCCCCTCTGCCTTATTCTTAGCCGCCTAAAAGCGCTGCAATGTCTGCCTAAAAGTTAGACACTAGAGCCTTTAGAGCTAAAACCTAACAGAGTAGCTTAGAGTTTTAGTAGAACAAAGCTACCTAGACACTAGCTGCAGGAAGACTAGCTTCCTAACTCTTTATAACCTGCGCTACCTGCGCTAGGTTCTAAGTAGACTCTAAAACAGCTTTAAAGGCCCCTTTTTTGTCCTCCTTACTCCCTGCGTTTTAGGCTGCTGCCTATAGCTTAAGATAGCCCTAAAGGACTAGAAATTCCTTCTTGCAATATAAAGAGACCTACACGCGTGTTAGTGAACTATACCCTAGCAGTATTAGACTATATTTGTATAGGGTTGCATTTCTTATTATATAAAGTGTAATATTTACATTTCTTTAATTTAAAGGACTAATAGGAAAACTTAACCTAAAGGCTGTAGGTAAGGGCGTAGGCAGCCTAAAGGCAGATAACTTAAAACGCCTCTAAAGAGGCTCTAGGAGGGAGGCAGAGCAGCATAGTAAATTTCTTTAATGCTATAATTAGTTAGCAGACTAAGCTATAAGATGTTAGGTGCACAATAATACCTATAAAGTAGAGATTTAGATAATAGCTAAAGAAAAAACTAACAACATTAACTAGACTATATAAGTAAGGTAAGTAAACACTTATTACTATAAATAATAAATTTGCTATATTAATAATAACTACACTGCTAGTTACTACTAAACAAAAACATTATAACAAAGGCATTATATTAGTATTAGGTTTTTAGTCTATTTCTTAGTAACAGGAAATTTTAGTTAAGATAGTTATACTTGTTGTATCCTATCTAAATTAGTTCTAAAGCAGTTTTAAATATGTTCTACACATTATAGATAGGGACTATTAGCTTACAGAGGGGGGGGTAGTGTAACAATTCTACGAATTGTTCTATATCAGGTCGCTTAGATCCTATCTGAAGGGTCCCTGTATCGGCCCTGACCATGACTTGACCTAGCCCCCGCAGTTACCCCTATTCCCTTATGTATTTAGTTGCACCTTGCCCCTGTAGCTAGCTCAGTAGTTTTCTGATATCCTACGTACAAGGCCTATAGGTGTCATTGGTATTCCCAGGTCTCTGAGTCCCCACGCACTCCCATATGCCTCTGAGTGGATTCATACCGCATTCGGACCCATTGTCTTGCCTGCGCCGTTACATGTAGTAGTTTAGAACATAATAGGTTTACTTAGTTTTAAGTAAGTTTTAGTATAATAACATTTAATACTTTAGTTAGTAACTTATTAAGTGTGTTTATATTACTTACTTTAAATTAATAATAAATTTTTATTATTTTAGCTAGTTTTTATACTTTTTACTACTCTTACAGCTAAGCGCAGGCTTCTGCTAAAGCCTAATTTGCAGGGGTAGACTGTGTGTTGCTTAGTCTTATACTAGCTTTTTTAACCTCTTCTAGGCCCTAATTACTTTCTAGATAGCTTAATAAGCTTAATTTATAAAAAATTTTATTATTTTTTTTACTTATTTTTTACTTTATTTTTTTTATGTTAGTGTTAACTTTAGTTAAGTATTACTAGAAGTAGTAGTTTTAGCTAGCTTTTTAGGTAGTTTTTAAGCGCTAGTTGCATCTAATTCTTCTCTAGCATTTTACTTTAATACTATTACATAGGAATGTTGCCCTTAAGCAGTATGCTAGCTTATAGAGCAATTTAAATGTAAAGATAGGATAGTAAGTAGCACAGATAGCACTAAGAGCACGCTTTTAGAGAAAGATAGGAGTGTATTATAGGAGAGACAAATTGCTGCTAAGCCTTACTTGTTAGGATTCATGCTTATATACAAAGCACAGGTCATATGACCTCCAAACAGGTCAGGTGAGGCCATACTGGCCCGTTCTGGGACATCCGGCCTTACACTAACCAGCCATGCCTAGGAAATTCGCCTCCTCTTTCTGAATCTTTTGCTTGTTTGGGTGGTTTGGTTCTGTTCTGGCTCGGCACCCATTTTTTGCTTTGGAACAGAGTCCTCGGCAGCCGGTTGGACTGGCCGGCTTTCTTCTGCGGTCCACGTTTCAGCTACGAAAACTGCTCTTGTATCTGTATATCCCTTATTTTGGAGATATTCGGCCACAATGCTGTTCAGGTTGGACAGGCCAGATGCACGATTGCCCTGCATAAACGGCTTCGGCAGGCTGGGATCTGGTAAGTCGTCCTTTGTCTCATCGAGCCAATCCAGAATATCCTGTCGCTGGGACGTTCCAACAGTCATAACGTCTAGCTTGACGGTCGCGGCTTCTGAAATGTCCGGATAGTCGACTTCACACGCGGCGGATACGACCTCCAAGGTGTCCAAATTTTTAATCTGTTGGATGCCGAAACGAAGCATTCCTCCTTGGCGGGACGCAGCAAATATGGACTCGGTGATGCTCTGAAGACCGTCGACTAACTCTTTGAGCTCCCGGATCAGGACATCAAACTTTTTACGATCATGGATGGCCCATCGGACTTTGGTGAGGGTCTTGTTCCGCAGAGGCTTTGGTGGAGAGCTCAACGCTGCCGGAACCCAAAAGTTCGAGAACGAGGCTGCCAAGTCATCCATGATGCTCGTGTCGCCCAAACCAACGGATCTGGGCACAAGTGTGGCCTGCTTGCACCCGTATCTCGTTTGAATCTTTTCCGAGTCTTGAAACAGTTGCTTCATCGCCTCCAAAGTGTCTTTGACCAGGCCCCTACAAGATGCCGTTTCAAGGACAGTCTTTTTCCTCGATCTTGGTGGTTCAGTCAACCCCATAGCTTCCCCCCAAGTGTACAATCGCAGTCGCTCGATGTTCAGTCGAACAAAGAGTCTTTGTAGGTCGCATTCTGTCTTTTGGGCCGCCTGGAATAGGTCGAAGGCATCTAGACAGGCTTTGAACAAGGAGGCTAGTGTGACGGCACTGGCAATGGCCCCAACGACCTCGGCCATATTGCTAGGAGGGTTTGGAAGCTTCGCAACGAGAACTAAGATTGAGATCTTGCTTTGGTAAGGAGATTCGGGCTTTAGCTTCAAGCTTCGAGCTCCAAGGTTGTGAAATGGCCGAGATCGTGGCTTAGCCGTGGGCGGTGCAGGGCTTGCCAAGACAATAGAGCCTTTAGGCGGCAGGAATATCTCGCGCCACACAGCGTGCCAAGCACCACGCCTTGCCTAATTCAATAGGTAGAAAAGGGCTTAGGATTAGACGATTTTGGAGAGATTCTGAAAAAAAAGTGGACTAAAAGATAGGTCTTATTAAGGTGAATCCAGCGCCATCAAGAAGATAATTTATTGAAGCCTAAGTGCAGCGATGCGGGCAGATTTATCATAGCTGACTTTTGATCAGACTAGGCAAAAATAACGGTATTTTATCGACGATAATGATCGGTTATCGCCGATAATTTATTATAATTATTGTCTTTCTATTATCGTACGAAGATTTTGATAGAATTTTTGAATTCTAATATAAAAAATATAGAATTATATAAGAGCTTGGTATTTATTGTGTTATCGACGATAATTATCGTACGATACGATAAATACGATAATTCGTTATCGCCGAAATTTATCGTTAATAAATTTATCGATGCCCAGTCTGCTTTTGATTTTCCTTCAACAAGCTCGGGCCATCGCGCTATCACAAGGCCACGAAGGCACTTAGGCAGAAGCGTAACATCTCGAGCGTGACTCCCCGAGCGTGACGAGCGTGATGACCTGGAGCGTGACGAGCGTGACGAGCGTGACACCCCGAGCGTGACAAGCGTGACGACCTAGAGCGTGACGAGCGTGACGGCCCCCTAATAGACAGGCGGACTCGGCGGACTAGCTACAACCACCCACCAGCGTAACCGAGCTAGCTTAAGGCCGTATTGACCGAGCTGGGTCAAGGTCGCCGTTCGAGCTAGGCTAGGGGGAAGGAAAGTTACAATATTTAAATCAGGGTAGTCAAATTTCCCCTAGGCGTAAAATATAAGCTATAGGATAGCGTAACTACCACAACAGGGGAAACAACCACCAGTTTACGCGAGGGTCACCGCTATTATTATTTAACTTAACCGCTCAAGTCAAGGGTAGTAGTATTCGGGCGCCCCCTAAATTCTTCTTCGGGCGCCCCCCGACCTAATTATCCTGAGGCATCAATTCTTTTGACCAATTAGATCGCGTGCATCTGCCTCACTCAAGTCTTAGTAGTGAAGCAGGCGTACCAGTAGTTCAAAGCCTCGAAGCATCAGATCTATCCAGGCTTCCAACACCACAACCACCAAGGAATTCCATCAAAGCAAGAGCATGGGCTGATTCAGCTACCTCAGAAGATTATATCTATAGCTTTTGATTGGGCCTGCAGGCCGTTGTTGTGGAAGAAGGGCCAGCTAGTTGAGAGACCTGCCCCATTCGAACCACCTCTTAGATCGACTCAAATCCAGCCAGTTGAGCACTTTAATCCATTGCCTTTTCGCCTATAACGCCACTAGACCTCCTCCTCACGATAGCCTTCTCCTATACCGCCTCCTACATCGCCTCACTGCTGCTGGTGGGCCTGCTGCTGTCTTATCACCTCCATCTCTTCCCGCATCGCTGCAAGCTCTGCCTCTATCACCGCCTTCGTGCGACGTGGCTTCTTCTTAGACCTGGAGTCCACCTCATCAAGCAGTGCATCGTCATCCTCTCCATCGCCTGTGGCAGCTAGCAGAGCAGCTGGAGCAGCCTGCTGGCCCTTCCTCTTGCGTGGAGCCTTGTCCTTTGCTCCTGGAGGCCTTCCCCGTGGTCTCTTGCTTGTGGTTGTAGCCGTGTTCGAAGGCGTCGCATTTACTGTAGTAGAGGTCGCTGCTGGCATCGTCGCATCAATGGAGGTCGCTGTAGAGGTCGCTATGGAGATGCACGCGATCTGATTGGTTAAAATAATTGATGCCTCAGGATACTTAGGTTGGGGGGAGGGGGGGCGCCCGAATACTACCACCCAACAGTTATCGTCCCGGTGACTCTTCTCTAACCTCGAAGCGTGAGTCGACGCGTCGGGATATTATACTCTTTTGGTTGAGATTTCTTCGGTCCACCAAGTCAGTCACTCTCTTAAGACCTGGTCCGACTACGGACTGCGGAATTCTCATATTAAACGTTTCCCCTTGTTCTTTAGTGTTACGACGGTGCATACTCAGAGACAAGAGACTCTGGCAGGAAAGCGAGATGTTCCCCCGAAAGATCCGCGAGAAGCTTCTCTGCAAGATTCTTAAGAGGTTGATTTCCAAGACCAATGAAAGCCCCCCGCCCCTTTAGGAGTGCGGCGGGAACCGATTCGACCATACTTATTCTACATTTTCTTCTGCAGGAGCTCCTGGTCTTTTCGTTTCAAGAGCCTCCTCCGCATCAGCTACAGGAACTGAGGCTGGGTCTTGACTCTAAGGGTGGCTGAATATTAACACTCATACAGAGTCGTAGAACTAGCCCTCAATGCCGTGTGGCTCATTCTTGCGTCCCATTTGCTTTCTAACTGCGACGGCAAGGAACAGGCCTCCTTCGCCTAATTCGACCTGGCTTCGATTGAACTATGTCTGGTCAGGAGGTGTATAGGAGTAGTCAGACGCCAGTTTTTCCAAAACTTGATCGGTAAGGGTCGAGTCTTCAAACTCTTGTTGAACATCTTTCAATAATTGATGCAAGATAATTTTACAGATAGTATCCGCACTTCGGTGGTGAGATCGGCGCATAATAATGACGAATGTATACGCTTTCTAGTGTACAAATGCTCGCCCGAGTACTGAAGTCGTTCTTTCCTTGAAGGGCTAGGGGATCCATTCGCCCTCGATTCGTAAGAAGCCCCTTCTTTTGCCGAACAATGCTGCAACGAACGATATATTGGCGTTCTTCGGGGAGTCAACAGCCAGCCGAACTATATTAGGAAAGAAGTTTCCTTCGTGCGGGCTCTAGCCGAACACCCCTGCATCTTTTGGAGTGCTTCGGAGTATGTTATATACTTGCATTTGGAAAGCAGCCATTTGTTTTTTTAGCACTAGGATCGGTTGTCCAGTCGGTTATCTAATTAGGAGTGAGTACGCACCGCCGGACTTGCGTCGTATCAGCTCAAGATAAATTGCATTGTCATCTGCTTCGGCGTAGATCCAAGTGAGATTAGAATCCAGGTCAGTTGCTGGAGCTCGAAGCAGTAGTAATCCCACTGCGACCCCTCGACTGCTGATTTCTGGGCGCAAGGTTATATCCGATGGGAGGGATAACCGGAAATCTGCGTAGGATACGCCAATTAGGGATCCATACCTAACAGTAGTCTTCGGCTCGCGCAAACGAATATGAAGTGTGCTCTCATAACACAAAAGTCCGCTTTTCGGAAATGAGGCAGGAGTGGATGCCGCAAATACTGATGCCTGACCCATCGGCCACCAACCCAGCTGTAGAGCCAAAGTATGTAGTCCTCGTATTGGCTAAAGATTTTTTCCTGCAGACGAGTGAAAGCTCGAAGTCCTTCGCCATAGAGAAGCGGCATGTTATTGGCAAAGAGGCCTAGCAGACAATAGGCAATGTCTTCTTGTCGAGATGTGCGGCGCTCAGACGCCCAAGACATTACCTCAGCAGCTGTGCAGCTTCGCGCGAACTTTTTGCGGAGCAGAATAACTCTTCATTCTACTCAGGCATAATCACGAGGAGCTCAGGCCTAAATTAGGTATAATTACTCTCACTCAAGCCGGCTCAGGGTGAGCTCAAGCCGGCTCAGGTGTTCACAGCCACAGCTTATGCTGCTCACTCAATGCTTTCATTCGCCACGATTGGCCCTAATTATGCTGTTCTAAAATCGGGCTCGCAGGGGTCGGAGACCAAGTATGATTATACTGACGCAAATTCAGGTGAGATCAGCCACGACTCAGGGGCTTAATTCCAGCCCTATTATAGGGGTGAAGCATCCAAGTGTATGGGTCGGAAGGAAGAAATCGAAGTGAGTCAGAATTAAAAAACAAAATCTATCTAGTTAAATATAGTCCCTTAAACTCGGTGACGACTCCGCCGTTTTCGGCGGCACGTACCGCCCTGCACGTAGGGCATTGTCACCAGTGGTGGAACTATATGATGCAAACTTAACCTATACTTGCGACAACATCGACTTTATTTAACTGCTTACGCGACTTGTAATTTTTACTACTTAAGCTAACTAGCTAACTGGGATGTTGATCACCTGGGGATGTTGATCACTAATTAGAACTTAACACCCTCATCAAAACACGTGTTTTCTCGCCATCCACACTGCCAAAATAGATGCCTGTGAAGAATCTATTTAAGCAGCCATCTGCGATTTTAATGCTGGTGTTTTACTAAGTTAAAGAGCTGCTCCAAGGGCATACAGCATCCCGCAGTCGCACGATTTCAACGCGTCTACACGGCAGACAGAACAACCGCGATAGCCACGTATACCAACAAAGATTGACTCTAGAGCAAGAGAACTTCCTTGTACAATGGATACTTGAAGGAGACGCACAAGCTTTTCCTCCCTTACACGCACGCGCATGAGAAATGGCGAACTGAATCCTTAGGATGAATAGGGACAACAGGCCTGTGGGCAAGCATTGGATCAGTGTGTCTAACCGTTAGTTACGGAGCCTTTTGGAGGCTGTATAGTACAGTTACGGAAGAGGAGGCTGTTACTAACTAACTGTACAGAGGAGATAACGTCAGTGTACAGTTAGGATATAGTAACTAAAGTATATTAAAGTATTATAAAGTAATTACGCTAAAGCTAAAAACTATACCTAATTAAAAAGTTATAATACCCCTTATAAAATCTACTGTTATTAATCTTACTATTTTAATGTACTTTATAAGCTTAGTTAGCTTACTAGTAATAGTGTTATTATATAACTAATTCTTCTATAGTTAAAAAGCCTTTATTATTAACACTAATAGTTAATTCTTTTTTATTATAATAGTTTTTTTAGCTTATAAGAAGCACTACTTATACTTACATAAAGTTACTAAAATTAATAAAAAATTAAAAGTAATTTTATAAAAAATAAAGTAGTAAAGTTAACTTTACTACTACTACTACTTAAGTAGCTAAGTAAGTAGCTAATCTTTAGTGTACTTATTTTTTACTAAAGAATTAAAGTAAAAGTTTAACTTATTAACTTTCTACTTTCTTTTTAAGCTACAACTTTTGTTGTTATAGAGAATAGTAATGTTAACTAAAAGAGCCTTTTTAAAGCGCTTATTATGTTGGTTGCTATAAGCTACTAAAAGCTTTCTTTATAATATCTCTAGTAATACTACCTTCTTTTTTTTCTCTTTCTTCTTAAAGGTTTTCAAGTAGTGTGTAACGTACCTAACAGGTTGGCCAGCCACTTTTGCTAAGCCCCTACTACACTCTACCTATCTACATAATTCTTTAACAACAACACTAGATTAAATCTTCTAAAGAACATTAAATACAGCTTACTTTTTAGGCTTTTAAATAAGACTTAAAACTTTCCTTATAACATGCTGCAGCTATTTATAATGTCTTTTACATAACACTAAGTAATTAACGCGCTAGACAGCCTTTAGAAGTAGAATGCTAGCTTAAATTAAAAAATCTAACTAAGCTTAAAAAAAAAGTAGTTATTAAGTATATACTTAAGCTTATTACACATAGATTTTTTTTTAGGCTTATAGCTATAGCTAATATAGCTAATTTCTTGCACATAGAGTGTAATCTAGGCTAGGTTAGCTTAAACTAGCCTAGTATATGTAAGGCTGAGATGGCGCTTACGTGTAAGGCCGAGATGGTGCTTACGTGCAACAGGTATATATACTATTCTATACGCAATAATTAATGTTAGTTAATTATTTGCACCTTTTTAGTTGTATTAGCGTAGTGGTATAGAGCTCTGTCCTTACATAATAATTAACTAACAATAAGGACAGTCACGCGTTTAACCTACACCTTAGACAGCTTAGCTAGTTTTTAGACTAAAACGTGAGGCAGCCTCTTCTAGCGCTACGTTGTTGCTGCTGGAAGGTCTAGTGTATATAGCTTAGCTGGCGTGGGCCACTAAGCGTTGCGTTGTGTTTATCCCGCGCCTCTGGGCCGCAGGTGGTCAGCCTCTGGCCGGTAACCGAGACATGCGCATAGGCGCCTCTGAGCTGCGGGTAGGTCATGTGACGCCTAGGACATGCGTCTGCTAAGAAGGGGGATAATGTAAGGCCGAGATGGTGCTTACGTGCGACAGGTATATATACTATTCTGTACACAATAATTAACGTTGTGTCCGTACGCAGCAGCAGCGTCACAGTCTGGATACGAGCGATCGCGCACGAGCAGGACCACGTATCTCTGTCACATGATGCTTGTGCGCGAACCTCTGTGCGCGAACATCTAGATATCCCCCTTTTCCTCTGTACAGAGGAAAGACAAGAGTAATAAAACTAGAAACATGTTGCCCTTACTTTACCTACTTTATACACTGTGCACACTATACACTACTTTTACTTTTGCTACTTAAGTGCTTATACTATAAGCAGCTAGCTGTTAGAGCCTATTTAACACTAATTAGTAGTTAATTTAATTAACTATAAATTAGTAAAAGTAATAATAAAGTACCTACACTTTATAAGGTACTTTGTTTTGTTACTTATTTTTTAGGAAAAGTAACAATAGAGCACTTATGCTTTATAAGGTACTTTATGTAGTTACCTATCTTTTAGAATAGTAGATTAATTTTTTACATTATACAGTAAGCTCTGCTACTGTATAGAGTAAGAAGGAGATAGTGTAAGACGCACACTAAAGCTACTAAAGCTGTATAACCTAGCAGCTAGATAATAGCACATTAATCCTTTACATTACACAGCAAGCTCTGCTACTGTACAAAGTAAAGAGAAGATAGTGTAAAGCGCACTTTAAAGCTATTAAAGCTGTACAACCTAGTAGCTAGATAATAGCAGTACCTATGCAATTTACTAAAAAAGTAATTAACTATACTATTATAATAAAATCTTATTAGCAACTAATAACTCTATGTAATAATAAAAAAAATAAGAAATAATTCTTATTATATAAATAACTTATAAAGGACATAAGAATATTAAAAGTAACACTATAAAACAAGACTAGCCTAGAGTACTAGAATAATAAAATTAACATATTAAAGGCTTTAATAAGCTTATAGACTTAATTATATATAAGTTATATAATTACTAATCTACACATAATAACTTAGAAGGGCGCTACTTTTCTAAGTGTGTATATAAAAAATTTTAAAGAATAGACACTATAAGACTTTTTAGCACTTAGCTACATGTTTAAAAGAGAGCTTATATAAGTGCTAAAGGACAAAGAAATTACACTACAGCTAGGCACTAAAGGTACCTAAGCCTAGAAGCTGTATAATATAGTATAAAGAAAAGTAATTACACTAGAAAGGCTTTATACATAACTTTTATTACTATATAAGGCTCTACATAGAAGTAGACTAAACATAATGCTACTATTAACACTAAATATACTAGCATTACCTACTTCTACACCTTAGCTAGCACTACACTAATTACTGTACAAATAATACATGCCACCCTACCTAACGCCTGCTCTACACCCTTAATCGTACACACCACTGCCTGCAGTAGTGTATGCACTACTAATACTACCTGCACAATCTATACTATATCACAACCTGTATAAACTTCTACCCTAGAGGGAAACTGCTAAAGAAAAACTTTTAGTAAATAAGATTATATAATTCTAAAAAGCATAAAAGAAAGATAATAACTATATAAGTTAACTATATAACATCTTTATAAATAAAATAAGAATCTTTATTAATCTATGTTAATAGCTAGATATTTAGGAAACTTAGTACATAGACATCTTTCTAGATATTCTAGAAGGTTAGGTGAATATGCACTATATGCACAACATAGGCCCTAAAAACAACTAGAAGCATTTGTACAACACCTTAAGCATTGTAATAAAGGATTTTGTGTAAAGAGAAAAGAAGAAACTATAGAAGGCAAAGTTCTGTGTAAAGAGTAAGACTATTCTAGTAGAGAAGCAGCCTATTAAGTTTAATAGTAGAAGGATTAAACTTACACACAACATAGTAGTCTTTACTTAGAAAAAATAAGTAAACTACTTTTATATAATTAACCTAAAAGACAAGGATGCTGCACAATAATATATTAAGTAATGTGTAAAAAAGGTATACATTACATCTATGTGTTAACTAAAGGCAGCATTTAACCTTTTTATTACTGCATAAACTATAGACTTTTTATATAATAACATTAACACACTTAACATATAAATCTAATAGCAGATAGATAACAGTAAGTGTAGTCTTACCTTTCTACTATTGCAGCTTAATTATGTAAAGCTGTTTATCTTTATAGATAGATTATTTACTAATAATAAAAACCTTAGCTTACAGCTAGGATTTTTAATTATATTAGGTAATAAAAACTGTATAAAGTAAAGTAACTACTTTAAAATACTAGGCAACATTATACACTAAAATTCTACTAAGTGTAAAAGAGTAACTAGGAGTGTCCTTACTAGTAAATTATATAAAATAGTTAGAAAGTTTAATAATATAATTACTTTTAGTATAACTTTATAGTAAATTATATAAACACTTAAACTACTACTAATTCTAGTAGTAATCTGCACAGATTTAAGGTTTTTATATAATTACCTTATTAAGCTAAGCACTACTAGTAAAAAGTAACTTATAATTAACATTATGTTACTCTGCAAATTATACAAGAAAAGAAAAATTACTAAAATAAAGTAGATTAATAGTAAAGACAACTTAGTAAATATATATATAAAAAAAATACTAAACTAGGCTCTTTAATTATTAGTTCTAACTAACTGCCTCTCTGTCTAGATAGAAGCATCTGTAGACTAGCTAGATTCTATGTGTAAAGATGCCTTAAACTAACTAAACTAACAACACTTTTATATAAGGCCTATTTTTTTGTTTTTTTTTATTATACGCACTTATTTTTCTTATTATAAAATTAGAAAAGAAGGATATGTAAAAAAGACAGTCTATTTATCTAGTATACAGAAAAAGAAAAAGCTACTACCCCTTACATATAGTAGTTACAATGCAGACCACAGCTCTGCTATACACACAAGGTGTAGGCATTAGCTTAGAAGTTAGCTAATATATAACACTTAATAAAAAAAAAAGCACTAGTAGTGCTGCTATAATAATAAGCACATAAAGTTACTAAGACTTAACTACAACTTTAGACTAAAACTGTATAGAAGTACTTTTTATAACACACAACTTTTACTACTTATAGCTGTAAATTAGTGCTAGTAAGTAAGACAACATTAATATTATAAAATAGTAAAGCTGCTACATGCTGCTTTTTAGCTTATTTATAATTAGCATTTTATACAAGAAGAAAGTAAAAGAGCTAAAAGATTTATATATTTATACTAAGACACTAAATAAACTACTAATTAGTAGCAGAACTAGTTAAAAGGGTAACATAGATGCGCCCTAGGCTGCTAGACTACATAAGGA